TATATATATATCCTTTTTTCCCCCTTTGTGTTTCTTTGTTCATTTTTTAAAACCCTTCTTTGGTAGCATCATGTTATCTTTAAAAGGCTTTTATGTTTTCATTTTTATTAATTGCCATACATTTATCTAATTTTATTTATTCAGGGTTTTTTTCATTACGAGGCAAACTCTTTGACCCTCTGTTTTTCTTCTTAAAATATACTTTCAGTGTGTCTTGACCTTATCTTATTGGATGTTTTTAAAGCTTTTATGTTTTTATTTATATCCCTCATTTTTTATTATGATTTTTCATTATCGGGAAAAGTTTTCTAATCTCCCAAATGCTTCTCTTCCCCTTCAGACATGTTCTCACTTCTTCGTTTATTTGCTTCCTTTCTGTTTCTCCTCTCCCTCTTCCTTCCCTTTACCTAATCCGCTATTATTTCCCTATCTTGTACAGTTTAGAGTCATTGCTTTTAAAACAGTTTGATTTCTCCTCTCTGCTTTCTCCCTTAAAAGTAGGAGACTCAACAAGAAAATACCCAAATAAAATTGGAGATAAGCAAACCAACAGTTGTATGAATCACAACACAGAAACATTAGAAATAAAAAAAAAAATCAAGACAGACAACTCCTCCAAAAGACCATAGTCCTTCCACTCCCGAAGTAAAAGTACTGAGATAGTAAAATTCTGGGTGAAGATTTTCAAAGTTTCCCAGTAAAAATGATCAGTGACTCCAAAGAGGAAACAAACAGGCAGATGAATGAAGTAAGGAAATCTATCCCGGACCTGCAGCACACAGAAAGAAGTCAGGAAACGGATGAGAAAATCAGCAATGTGGATGAAAAGTTCAGCAGTGTGGGAGAGAAATGCAGCAAAGAAATTGAGATTTAAAAAAAAAAAATAGAAGTGTCAGAAATGGAAAATTCAATGAAAAAAAAAAAAAACCACTGGAAATCATCACCAAGAGACTCAACCAAGCAGCAGAAGAGTATCAGGAGTGGGGGACAAGACTGAGGAAACACTACATTCAAATATCAATAGAAAACAAAGAAACAGTCATGACAAGAACTCTGGCATATGCTCAAGAGACCAAATCACTATTGTTCACATAAAGAAATATTCTCTTGTTCAATTGCTTTATGACCAGAGCCACTGAAAACGTAAGCTTCCTGCTCAGAGGTAAGGATTTAGGGACACATCTGAGATACATATGGGGTACACCCTGAATGACAGGTAGTATAAGAAATACCAATTTAGGAGATACTGATTTTTCCTTGACAATCATTTTTATTGGGCAATTTTTGTTATCAATTACTTTAGATTTCACTGAACTACAACAAACTCCAGAGGGTTCCTGTCTCCAAAGTTGCTAAACCCAAACAGCAAACACAAAACAGATTATTTTAAGATATTAGGGGCTAAGGATGTAGTTTAGTCACCTAACATGCACAAAGCCCTGGGTTCAATGTCTAGCACGGTTTAAACTGGGCTTGGTGGCTATGCCAATAATCCCAGCAATTGGGAGGTAGAAGCAAGATGGGAGGTGGAGGCAAGAGGATCAAGAGTACAAGGTCATCTTCACCTATATATCAAGTTTGAAGCCAGCTGAGCAAATTTGAGGCCAGCCTGGGCTATATGAGACCCTGTTTAAAAAAAAAAAAACAAGAAAGGTGGAAGGAAGGGAGGGATAGAGAGGAAGGGGAATCAGCAGTCACCACATTGCTTCTGATGCCTTCAAGCAAATGCAAAAGAAAAATGTGTCCAAGCTTAGAAAACCCTTCATGGTTTAGACAGTTCAGGAATCACACAGTTAAAGAAACAGATGAGAGCACAATGCCGGTTAAGATTCTGACTGAAGGGGCTGGAGATTTAGTTAGTGCAAGGCCTTGAGTTCAAGTTTTTAACTTGGGGGGGGGGGGCAGTGATTAAAAAAAATGACAAGATTCTGGCTCAATTGGAGTAATTGTTGGACTCCTGCTAGGAATTCCACCTTGCTAAACCTGAGATGGGGGGAGGGGCGCGGAGAGGGAAGAAGCAGGGCTCCTGCTTTTAAAATGCATGGCACTGGTTTTGGGAGGACCGGGTTTATCCATGACAATTTAGGAGGGAAATATGTAGTCAATATGTATCTACCTGTACATAGAATCATGTAATTATTTCTATAGTCATTCTTGGGCTAAATTCATATACCCAAACATGCATTTAAACATTTAAAAATGGGAAGAGTGGACAGAAGTAGGGATTCTCACAAATATTTCTCAGTTTTTAAAACTGCTCTAAGAGAATGCTAGTATCTTTTTTTTTTTTTTTTTCCCTTTTTGAGACAGCATCTCCCTGTAGCCCCAGCTGGCCTTGAACTCACAAGAGATCCACCTGCCTCTGCCTCTGTCTCCCAAGTGCTGGGATAAAAGGCATGAGCCACCACTCCTGGCATGGTATCATTCTTTGAGAAATAAGTAAATCAAAGTTAGTACAGGTAGAGTTATTTGCCCAGGATCATTCAGTTTAAAAGAGGGAGCTGAGAACTCAATTCCTCTCGATTCAAAGCCAAGGCGCCTGCCATCATTTCAGCAGAAGAAATGGGGTCACTGACTATGCTGGCTCTAGAAAGGGGGTTGCTCATGTGTTGGGAGCCTCAGCCATTTCTCAAAACTGCTGACAGACCTGAGTTGGTGACTTTCCATTCTGTCCACCCTCCTCCCGCAGGCATGGGAAAGAGCCCACAACCTTGGCTCACAGCAGGGGCCCACAACCTCTGTCCACCCTCCTCCCGTGGGCATGGGAAAGAGGCCACAACCTTGTCTCATAGCTGGGCCTGGTAGCCCACGGCCTTGCTTTAGTTATTGTAAATAGCCCTGTTTTCTGTTGATCAGTAGACTCTCACAGGCACGGGATGGAGCCCATGGCCTTCGCCTATGGTCTTGTTTTCTCTTCCAGTAACTGCTTTGCTTTCAGTGGATTCCTCCCTTGGAGTGCACCTGGGTCTTTGCTATCTGGCTGATATGATTCAGTCCAGTCTGTACTTCTTATTTAACTGTATGCTTGTGCTTCAATAAACGAGACTTGATCAGAGCACTGTCTTGTCTCCATTTCTCTTGCCCCTTGCCTCATCCACATCCCCACTCCCCAATCCAGGTACCCCGTTGCAGACCCTGCAGGCCGGGGCACTCATGAACTCACTTTTTAAAGTATAGTCAAGAGATATAAATCAAGATATTTGCCAAGCCAGTCCACCAGAGTCTGAGATAGCCTAATCTTGTTCCATTTCCTTGACTGTGCTCAAGCCCCAACTTCTCCCTGCCCACAGGCTCCATTGGTATAGAAAATTTGTGGCAGCTGCTACCTCCTGCAGGTGTAAATTAATCCCATCAACTCAAGTTCCGGAGAGAGACTCACTCCAGGTGGATAAAAGATCAAAGGAGACAAAGATGCTGGTCACTTGCTGGCCTTTTCCTTCTGTGAGGAGGTGTGGCTGATACCTGGGCACCAAATGTAATGAGAGCAGTTAATAGCCAAAGCACGAGCTAAAGCGTGCAAGTGGCCATTCATCAGTGGATCTGGGATTCAAAGGTAAGTCTGTTAACAGGTCCTCATCAAAATGAATCTGTGCAGCCAAAAGACCAGTCTGGCAAGCTCAGGTCATTGACATTCATGCTGTAACAATGGCAGTGTTGCCACGTGAGTGGGACCAGGTACACAGACTCACTATTTCTCTGGAAAAGGCATTGCGTGGAGGCAGGACTTGCAGGCTGCTCAGCTCTGCTATGGAGAAACCATTGTTTCTGATGCCAGAAAAACCCAGGTTCAGATCCTGGCTTGGAGCCTCTTGACAAAGCTGCCTAATTTCTCCACTGCTCTGTTTCCCTAGTTGTCTTATGGAGATCACAATACAAGAGTTACTGTGGTTATCAAATCAGATTAGAAGCTACCCCATGGGAGGCAACACCTCATGAGGGCTGCCAATACTTCTCTTGTCAACCAAACCCTTAGTATCCAAGTCATGTGCATATCAGAGTGAATAACCCAGCTCTATACCCCAACTTTGTCTTGCCCCTTTCCTGTGTCCTAGAAGTTGAGGGTTCTGGGAAGAAAGCTCTATATGTGCCGAAGAACCCAGTAAGGAAACGGCTTCAATGGCATGACACCCTTAGGGGAGAAGCAGCATGGGACCAGGACTGCTTAGCAATCTGGGGAGACTTGGTTCGTTTCTCCAGGCTCCATTTTTCACCCTTACCTAGGGCTAGTGATGGCTGGTCTGTTTCTTCATTTGGTGGTTAGAATAACCACATGTATTTTATCTAAGAGGCTAGTGAGGTCCATGCTCTGCCCTCATCCTCTCCCAGGTGGAAATATTTGAGGAAATAGCTGCTTCCTGACCAGGGTAGGGAAGGCAGGAATGGGAGGTAGGCTGTGGGGAAGAAGCTCTGAGCATGTAGCAGTGGGATCCCTTGCAAAGTACATCAGGTTGGACCCAGCGAAGACCTCTGACACCTGAAGCCCATTTCCTGCTTCCCAGGTGCAGCTTATCTAAATTCCTCCCATGCTCTAAGTGTAGCCATGGCACAGAAAAGCTCTGCAGACAGCAAGACTGACCTCCCCTACAGCAACCTGGTCTCTGAGGTGAACAGGCGTAGAGATGCCATGGTCATGAGGTACCTGAAGACTCTCTTTTAGCTTGCTTGTTTGCTTGTGGGGTTAGGACTGAGAACAATGGTTGAGTCCCACCTAGTTTGGGGGAAACTGTGGGAGATGGGTTACAAAACTTACTCGTCCACTGCTCTCTTAGCTGCACCTAACAGATAAGGCAAATGTTTTGTCACCCACTATGCGGAGCAAAACTTTCTCATATGTCTCTTCAGGAGGTGATGGTCCTCTGTGCATGGCCCTTCTGTGGATGCCATGAGTGAGTGGAGTGAACTTCATCTCAGTAACTCTTAATGGGATGGGGGGATCATGTTGATCTTTTCATTTTAAACTTTATTATTTGCATGCGTGAGTGTGTGTGTGTGTGTGTGTGTGTGTGTGTGTGTGTGTGTGTGTGTGTATGAATGAATTCCACGACATGTGAATGGAGGTCAGAAAACAACGTTCAGGAGTCAGATCTCCCCTTCCAGGGGTTTCAGGGATAGAACCAGGTCATCAGGCCGGAGCAGCCTGCACTTCTGCCAGCTGAGCCCTCTTGCCAGTCCAATGTTGATTTTGATGGTGATGTAAGTTCTGACGTAACCTCCCGGAATAACAACGCATGCCTTTACAGACAAGCTTTGGGGACAACATCCCTGAGATCTCACCCTCATTGCTAATGAGGTTGTACACCCCCTGCAGGCAGGGACTGACATGTCTCTACCACCTTGTGCTTTGTGCCTGGAACTGTCATCAGTGGCCAATGAAAAAATGACTGAGCCCAGAAACCCCTTAAAAGAAGAAACCTCAAATAGCTTGCTTAGCCCAAAAGAGAGGTTTGGCCTGAGGATGGAGCTAGTGTTTCAGCTCTAAAAGTCCTCATCTGCCTGGGATGTCCCATTGATTATAGGCTTGGCACATAAAATACAGGAACCTCAGTGGTTTTTGAGTTTTCTTTAAAAAATGATTTCATTTACTTTTATGTGTTTGAGTGTTTTGCTTGCATGAATATAAGCATGCAAGTGCATGCCTCATGCCTGTAGAGGCCAAAAAAGGGTGTTAGATCCACTGGAGCTAGAGTTAAGAATGATTATTAACCATGTGATGTGGGTACTGGGAACTGAACTCAGGCCCTCCAGGAGGCAGCAAGTGCTCTCAATTTGTAAGTCATAGCTCCCCCCCCTCCCCTTCTTTCTTCTTTCTTTCTGACACAGAGTCTCCTTGTAGTCCCAGCTGACCTGAACTCACTATGGAGACCAGACTGGCCTAGATCTCACAGAGATTTGCATGCTTCTGCCTCTCAAGTGCTGGGATTAAAGGTGTATGCTACCATGCCTGGCTCAAGTAGTAAGTGCTCTTAACCATGAATCATCTCTCCAGCCCTCTGCATTTGAGTTTAAAGTAAACAATTTTTTAAGTTTAAATACATCTGTAAAATATTTGTGATGTACTACAGATCATTCTTTGTTTATCTGGAATTCAAATTTAACCAAGAACCTTGTATTCTTGATGCATTTGGCATGCCTGTGATGGCTACTTTGGGGTGGGCATCTCTGTGGAGAATAGTAGGACTCCCTGACATTGCCACCTGGCTAGGCACCTGTGTCAAGAGCTTGTGCAGGTTCTGACTCTTCCTAATGCAAGGGGCCACAGGGACGGGGTGGAAATGGTAAAATTCCTTCATTCTCAGCAAATGCCAAAATGTAGTTTACTGGGCTTGTTTAATGAATTTAGAGGTTATATGGGCTTGTTTAATGAATTTAGAGGTTATATGACCCTTAAAAGAAACAAGTGGCCTGGGGCTGGAGAGATGGCTCAGTGGTTAAGAACACTGGCTGCTCTTGCAGAGGACCTGGGTTCAGTTCACAGCACCCACAAAGCAGCTGACAACCATTTGTAACTCCAATTCTGGGGTATCTGAAGCCCTCTTCTGACCTCTGGTGGGCATTGCACCTCACGGGTGCACTTACATACATGCAAGTAATATACTCATGCACATAAAATATTTGAAGAGAAAAGAAACAAGTGATCTAAGAGTATTCTGACAAGAGATCTCAGGTTGAAATCATTTTGATATTATAAACACAAATCTGTGACAAAGATGAGCACAGCTGACGTTTTGGCTTTAGCAGTTTGACGGTTATAAGCCTTAAACATTCTAATCTTACTAAATCTGATAAGATGTTGGCCAAAGAGACATTATTGAATTAGAAGATAGAATGCCATCAGTATTGTTCAAAGTGCCCCCGTGAGTTTACAGTTTATTGGGAGGTAAGGTATTTGAAGTGATAGGTCTATATACTCTCTTAGTTTACACACAAATGGATGTTGGGGACCTTTGCTGTTAGAGGTGCACAGGTCAATAGACACCCCTGCTTAAGGGTGATGCTGTTTCCAGAAGATTGTTGGTATGTCTACCTGATGCACATAAATAAAAATAAATTCTAGGGCCAAATAGCTCTCCTCCCATCACTTCACATCCCCTCAGCAGCATAAGGGATCTGCTTTCATTGGGAGATGGCAGCAGGGAACTTGTGGCCTGATCCAAACCTGAGATTGGCCCCCAGTTCTGACTTTTAATGATTATACACTCCAGGCAAAATCACCCCCATCTCAGCTTCTTCAGCAGAGATTTAATACCTGTTGTGGGGTATACTTAAGAATCTGCATGTAGAATGTAATTAGTTTCTAGTTTATAGCTCATCTTTATTCCCTGGGATATAGTAAGTATTCAAGGGACAGTGAAATCTGAATCTTTAATAGTTTGACATGTCAGTCCTATACCCTTGCAAGCTGGGTTAGCCCAGCCCTGAGTTAGATGGGAAAGTCCTGGCCTGCCTCAGTAGAGGAGACTCCAACAGAAAAGAGCTCAGCAGGTTGGGAAAGGGAAAAGTCAGGCAGAGGGAGGCAGATGTGAAATGACCTGAGGGAGGACTCGCCCTGTAGAACAGCTGGGATGTGATTGAAGCTTGAAGCAGTCTGCCCTGGGCTGATTCACAGAGAGCCGGCTGGTGGGCATGAAGAAAGAAAAATGATGCAGATTTCTCACTTGAATCCCTCTGGGGATTAAGATGGTGAGCGGTAGCTCCATTGGTTCTCTTGAATCAAGAGAGACTAATGAGTTCATTCTGAGAAGACCAGACTATAACTATCTCATTTTTTGCCAGTGGTTTTCTCTAAGGCGTGATTAGAGGCATCTAGAGGGTGTCCTGTAAAATGTAAGCACCGGCATCTGGGGTGTGGCATTTCTTCTCTTTTTCTTTTCATTTTTAGACTATCTTTTACTTTTTAAACTCCATTTTATTTATTCAGTGTATGTGCAAGTATGTGCAACTTTTGAGAATCAGTTCTCCTCTACCTACCATGTGAGTTGTGGTGCTTTGAATGAGATGTCCCACATAGGCTCAAGTATTTGAACACTTGGTCAGTTAGTTGGTAGCCATGCTTTGGGAAGGTCATGAAATCCCTAGGAGGTAGGGCCTTACTGGAGGAAGCCCCACTGGGGGCTTTGAGAGAGTTCATAACCACTTCCCTTTTCCCGGTTCTTGCTCTGCTTCCTGTCCTGCTTGAAGATGTGAATGCTCAACTTTCTGTTCTGGCTGCCTCCTGCCATGCCTTCCTACCACGATGAACTCTTAGTCCTCTGGAATCACAAACCCAATAAACTCTACCTTCTATAAGTGGTCTTGGTCATGGTATTTTATAGCAGTAGAAAAGTAACTAATACTTGGGTCCTAAAGATTGAACTCAGATTGTCAATTATAGCGACAAGTACCTTTACCTGCTGAGCCATCATACCCAACGCATCTTTATTTGAGTAACATTTAATGTCTTTTTCTTAGAGATGAAATGATCACCAAGAAAAGTGATGAAGATAGGAAAACACCCACCCAAGAACCTTCTCCCATCAAGGCTGAGCTCAAGGTGCCTCCTGCCCCACCTCCTTCTCCAGCTGATTCTGAAGACTCTTAAGCAAGTACAAATTGAATTTTTTAAAAAATATTATTTTTATTTTATGTGTACAAGTGTATTGCCTGCTTGTATGTGGGTGCTCCTGTGTCATGCAATGCCATGGAGGTTAGGGAGTTGGTGTCCCCTGGAAGTGGAGTTAAGGATTTTTTTTTTTTTTTGGTCTTTTTGAGACAGGGTCTCCCTGTAGCCCCAGCTGGCCTGGAACTCACTATGTGGACCAGGCTGGCCTTGAACTCACAGAGATCCACCTGCCTCTGCCTCCCAAGTGCTGGGATTAAAGGCGTGCGCCACCACGCCCAGCCCTAAGGATGGTTTTTAGCCACCATGTAGGTGCTGGGAATCAAACCCAGGTCTTCTGCAAGAGCAATCAGTGCTCTTAACCTCTGAGCCATCTCTCCAGCCCTCAAACTGAATTATTTTAAGATGGGCTTGTATATAAACTGCTAGCAAGCAGGCTCAATGATGTTTCTGGACTTTTGAAGACTGCCTTGAAAATCTTTGTCTTCCCTTTTTCTGCTCCTAGACCTACTGTTGAATATTGTTTATCCTCACGTGCTGGTTACTTTTCTCTTTGCTCTGATAGAGTGTCTGACAAAAGCAACTTAAGAAAAGGAGGCTCTCTCCAGGCTTACGGTTTGAGGTGATATGGTTTAGCATGGCAGGAATGGTGTGGCAACAGGTGGCTCCACAGTGGCAGAAGTATGGGGCAGCTACCTGCTTATATGTCAGCAGACTAGAAAATGGAGACAGGACAGGAAGTGGGGCCAGGCTATAAACCCAGGGTCTGTACCCTCTCAACTGCAGCAAAGCTCTATATCCAAATGGTCTTACAGTCTTCTGGATAATGCCATCAGCTTGGGGCCTGTGGGGGACAGTTCACATCTAAACTCTAGCACCCTACTGATGTGTGCCAAGAAATTTTGAGTTTTCAAGACAAGTGTTTGATATGGGATATATTTATATTTGATCTTTGATTTATGCTATGCTGTAGAACACTTGATTTTAAATTTATTGGGTTTTATTTATAACAAAGTCGGAATCAGTGAAAGGTCCAGGCCTCTGTGATAGTAACTCTAAAGATCTTAGGTCTTAGGTCTAGTGGCTGGAGACATGCTCAGTGGTTCAGAGTGCTTACTACTCTTCTAGAGGATCTGAGTTCAGTTCCCAACAGATCTGTGTATAGCTCCAGTTCCAGGGGATCCAATGTCCCCTTCTGTCTCCTGAAACACCTGCACACATTGTGGCATGTGCATGCACACACACACACACACACACACATTACACACAAACAAAAATAAATATGAATCTTTTTGTTTTGAGACAGGGCCTCCTTGTAGCCCAAGGTGGCCTAGAACTCACTATGTAGACCAGGCTGGTCAATTTCACAGAAATCTGCTTGCTTCTGCCTCCCAAGTGCTGGGATTAAAGGGATACACCATGATACCCTGACAAAAATAAATGTAAATCTTTTAAAATATTTTTGTTTTTATGTGTATGAGTGTTTTGAGTATATGTATATAAGTGCATCTGTATTCTGCAATGCCCATGGAAGCCAGGAATGGTCATTAGATCTCCTGAAACTGGAGTTATAGATGGTTGTTAGCTGCCATATGAGTGCTGGAAACTGAACATGGGTCCTCTGCAAGAGCCACCAGTGCTCTTAACCACTGAGTCATCTCTCTAGCCCTAAATATACTTTTTTTTCAAAAACTTGAGGTACTTAATCTATCAGACCCTAGACCCAGGCATTTCCAAGATTTTATGGTCCTTTCATGCTAAGCTAATTACATTCCCAGCCCCTGTGTTGGTGCCAGAGCTACTGAGTTTTAAATTTATTAATTGTATTTTCAAAGTTTACTTCTAGGAGGTTGAAGTGATTTTCAAATGATTAAGCAGAACACTCTACCCTTCAAGGCAGCCAACTACAGAATGATGTGTCAGGGAGCAATACCTCTCTTAGGTATTCTGCCCAAGGCCCTCAGTAGACCTTAGAGAACTGCTAATGACTTTGAGGGCTTCTCTGAATGGGTTAAAGGCATCAAAAATGTGGCCATTCTAATTCACATAGGAAAATGAGCTTATATGTCATCTTTTGTTCATCCCCTTCCTCACAAACTTCTCATGAGTATTCTCTTTCCAGAGCAGCATTTACAAAAGTGTTCTGGTCCTCCTACACACACAGTAGGGTGTGTTCTCGCCATAGATTGGGGCAGAAAGGGAGGATGCACTGAACAGGTCTTTGCCAGCTGAGTGCTTGGTCAGGTAAGGAAACAGACCTGCACTGTCTTGTAGTATAGCCTCTAGCCATGTGTGGCTACTTCAATGTAAACTTACACAGATAAGGTAAAAATGTACCTGTTGCACTGGTCACTTTTCAAGTGTTTAGTATCTACCTGTGGCTAGTTCCCCCCCTACTGGAGATTAGAGATATAGAATGTGACTATCACAGAAATTTTTATTACACAGTGCTGGAACTGAAGCTAAGGGTCCAAAGTCAGTGCAGAGTGTGTGAGTCAAGCAATGTTCCATCCTGATCTCAATGGAGTTTGTATTATGGCAAGAGAAGACTGACATCATAAAAACATGAATTATCATATATCAAAAGGGGATAAGTAAAAAAGAAAAAGTTTAAAATAAAAAAGCAGGGTAGGGGCCAGAGAGATGGCTCAGTGGTTAAGAACACTTGTTGTTCTTGCAGAAGACCTGGGTTTGAATCCCAGCACCCACATGGCAGCCAACAACTGTCCGTAACTCCAGTCCCAGGGGATCCAACAGTCTCTTCTGACCTCTGCGGGCATTGCACTACATTGGTGCACTTACCTACATGCAGGCAATACACTCATACACATAATATTCTATGTACCTCGGGAAGCAGCAAACTGATCTCATTTTTTGTAAAGTACTATGGGTATCTAGGTAATTTAGTAAGACAGTGAGAAGCCCAGTTGGACTTGGCTGGAGTCAAGTGAATAAAGACATTAGTAGAAGGTAAAGTCACTGGGTGGAGGTGGGAGAGGAGGTGGATCCTGGGGAGTTTTGTAAGGCGCTGACGGTGACTTTGAAATAAGAAATAGGAGTTTTCAGGAAAAGAGGCATGATCTGGCTTACATTTTAATGGAATTGTTCCAATAGCTTCATAGAGAACTGCATGTGTGGGTAAGAAAGTGGAAGTATTTCAGATGCTGTTGTAGCCATCCAGGAACAAGGTGGTCATTTCAACAAGCAGCAGTTGGGGTGATGAGAAACATGGGCAAGATTCTGGAATGGTACATCTGAAGACAGAGCCCACAGAAGATCCTGATAGACTGGATAGCGGTTACAGGAGATAATAAAGGGTGACTCCAAGATTTTTAGCCTTGAGTTGGTTTGATAGCTCAGTGGGTAAAGGTGCTTGCCACCAAGTCTGATGACCTGAGTTCAATCCCTGGGACCTACATAGTGAACAGAGAGAACTGACTCCCACAAGTTGTCCTCTGACCTCCACATGCATGCTGTGGCATGTGTGTGCCTGTATTCACAGACAGGCGCTTACAGATATACATGCACTTTATACACACACATACATACACACACACACACCCCCCCATCCCCCACACAAGGCAATAAGAAATCACTTTTAAGAAATAT